ATTTTTATATTCACATTCAAAAACTAGCATGACTCACTTAAAAAAAAAAAAATCTCTTAAGATGTGCTCAGCATTCTACTTAGGCCCAAGGATAGACTATTTTGTTTTCTCCATTGCACCAAATCCTGTTTTGCAACTTTTGCATCTTCCTTCAATCTTCTCTACTTCGTGAACATTAACAATTTCCTTAAAATAGTTAGACTCAGGGACTTTGCGTCAGAAGCAAGGGTCCTCTCATACTGACTCATAAGGAGGAGCATGTGGGGAATCGCCCTGGGAGACGCTATGACTCACTGAACTAGGGCTATCTCTTTCTCTGGGGTGTTGGTATCTGCAGCTCTGCTCTCTGGGGTGATATTTCTGCCCCAGGAGTGTGGTAACTGTTCATTATGATGTGCTGGCTTCTCTGTGCTAGGCCAGAGGGCTTGGAGTCTTCTAGCTTTATTACTCAGTAAATTCTAACTCAAGAAGGTAACAAAGCTTTCCCCGTCACATTTGTAGACCTTACCTCCTCCTTCAGTCTGCCAATTCTCCTCTCTCAGCACCTGAGGCTGAGGTGGCTTCTTGGTCCCTCCAACTGGAGAGTCCACTAGAATTCCAGGATCCTAATTCCTAATGTCTTATGGTGGCTTTCACATCTGGGCTTCCATGGCCTAAACTCTTGGCTCCTTCTCCAGGATTAGGGGGAAAGTTAACTCTTTCCCGTTTTTTCCACGAACAGGGTAATGAGCTCTTTGTCTTCAATTGGCCCATGAACTCCTCCAGCTTTTCCCAGTCTATTACCCTCCTGGCCACACTTAATTCCATGTATATCCTGGACACTCACACCTCTCCACTATCAGCCAGTCCACTCTATCACCCTGACTCACACCCATAATCTGCTAACTTTGTTCCACTGCAGTGTTGTTAGGGAAAACACACACACACAAACCAACATGTGCATATGTTTTTTCTGACTAGATCCACTACTAATTTATCCAAGGTGAATATTCCAAACACCTTCCCTAATAATACTCCTTTTGCACTTATAAATAATTCCTTCGGATATGTGGGCTTGGTTCAACAAGTCTTTATTGATCACCTAGTATATTCTGGATACTACAGGCTGAGCCTACCATGAATACCATGTGTGGCCTCTGCTCTCATGGAATTAACAATCTTGAGAAAGAGAAATGGGTGGAGTAGTAGATCTAACTGAAATAACCATAAACCACCACTATACAACGGTTGTTATGAATCATTTTGAACAAAGTTCCAGAGAACTGAAAAAGTAAGTGACTTGATATGGAAAGGATGGGAAAAGGAGAGTTGAGGATGACAGCCAGGGTCCTGGCTTAGGTGACCAAGTTGACAAGGCTGCCATTGATTGAGTTAGGTATAGGAGGAAGGAGCAAGCTTGCATTGGAGGGTGGTAAAAGAATGGAGAAATAATCCAGCTGAAGTGGAGAGCCCTACAAAATTATTATGACCGTTTAAGATTTCCATGAAATCTCCAAATGGTGATGCCCAATGTTTGTATCTTAGAGAAAACTATGATGGATTTGCACAATGGAAATGGCAGCAGAATTATGCCTAGTATCAAGTAAGAAGAAAAGAATGAAAGGACAACTCAAAAGACAAGCATTTTATGAGCAGACAGAGGATAAGAAGTGGATTCAGAATGGCCAGATAGATGGGAACAAAATTACGTTATTATTTGTGCCTCCGAAATCTATTTGCAATTCTCTTCTCATTTCAAACTGTTTGGTAGATTTTTCTAATTGAATACTCTTCTAATATATCAAATTCAATATATTTTCACCAAAAGGAAAGCTTTTGCTTCAGAATTCCCTATTTGTGGTATTGTGATAAGAATGTCAAAGCCCATGTCAAAGCTCTTCACCAACAGCATCTATGCTTTGAGTTACTCTGCCCTGGCAGGTTCAATGTGTAGCCCACAATAACTCATATTTCAAGAATCAGTTCACCACACCAGCCCCAAGCAACCATCTCTAATCTGGGTATTGCAATTGTGAGTTAGGGACTCTCCACTGTTCACATTCTATCCTGCACATAGTTTTACCACTGTAGATATATATATATATATATATTTTAAGTACCTATTTTTGTTTCTTTGGATACAGGAACAACTACATTATCTTTGCATTCCCAATTCAATGTAAATAAAAATGTTTGTTGAGCTGGGGCAAACTAAATGTTGAATAAGTGAGTGAAACTAAACCCAAACCAGATTATTCCTTTTATTGTCCTTCTCACATTACTTGAAAATATTTCATGGTTTGTTCTGTTTCTTTGTGCCCTTTATTTATTTATTTATTTATTTATTTATTTATTTATTTTTGAGGTTCTAGGATTTGAACCAAGGACCTTGTGTATACTTGGTAAGCACTCTTACACTGAGCTATATCCCCAACTCTGTGTACCCTTTATTAAACAGTGTTCTGACTCCTGACCACAATAACCTTGCTTTTATAACAGCTATATATTGCCATGATCTGTTTAGATAGCATTTTAATACTAGCCATATTTAACTCTCACCTCTCAAACATTAATTCTAATAATATTGTCACTGGGATTTTCACTGGAAAAAAGTGGTCAATGATCTAGTAGACTTTTACCCAAGAAATATCAATTTATAAAAAGATTTCTGATTCTAGGGTATTTGGGGAATAAGGAGGCAGTGAGCATGGAAAAGAAATGTTAACTTTTATTGGACTTTCTGAAACTTTTAATTTTTTGTTTGTTTTAGATAATATTAAGAGGAGATTCTAATGAGCCAGTCACTTGAAGATTATTCTGACCTGCATATAGGAATTAAAGCATTTTGGAAAACATTAACTCAGGTAGATATTTTGAATATAACTAGGTATTAAATAATTATTTGCACAAAATATGTTTGAACTAATGTATTGTAAAAATCTTAAGAAAAATGTATTTTCCATAAAGTTCAACTAATTTGGGGAGCAGGGATCTGTGAGTTAAAATTTCACATCCTATTAACACTTCAGTTTCTTTTAAAGCAATCATTAGTGCTTCATTAGTAATGGCCACTTTATTTATTTATTTATTTGTCTGTTTATTTTATACAACACAGAGATATATGAAATAGATTTACTCTCATCTCAGCATAAAGAAGTCAAGATCTAGAGAGCTAGCTATGCATTCTCTGATTCTCAACAAATCCCTTCAACTTACTAAGTCATAAGCTTTAGAATTTTTTAAGTCCAACTTATTCAAGAATGACATACTATGGCATTGGATTGCTATCTACTCTCAATGCCTTGGGATAAATGTGTTACAGAAAGAATACTATCTTGAAACTGAATAATCTAACAGAAACAAAATTTGTACTATTTCTCATTCTGAAAGCTTCAATTATCTTCATTACTAAAAAGAAACCAAAGTCTTGAAAATGAGACATAAATACATATCCACAGATTTCAACTCCAAAAGCACTAATAATAAACAGAACTGATCTATCGCTTCCTGAGATGATTGGTGATCATATTTTGATAGTCTGTTTTCTTTAGTTAGGAGTTTTTCTATCATGATGGGAAGCAGGAATTATCACCAGTGTTTGCTACCACCTACACCTTATAGCTCAAGAAAAAGGAATGGAAGCTAAAAGAGTCTTCCCTCCAGATTCATCTATGTAACCAGGGTTGTTGAGATTCTGCCCTGGTGCTGAGCACTATTGTAGGCATAGGAAGTAGAGCGGGGAGCTAAGCAGAAACCCTTCCTAGGTACTGAGTTAGTTAAGGAACTAATTCACCAACCACCACTTAAAGAACAGAATGAGGAGTCAGGCTGCAGTTAAACTCTAAACAAAAGTAGAAGAATGTGTTTCTCAGCTGGAAGATAGTGATCCTTGGGGAGTGGGAAAGAAAGGACTACTAAGTAGATTGTAATCATACTGAACTTTGAAAACTGGCAAGATTGGAATGGACAGCTAAGGATAGAAGGAAAAGGGGAGCAAAAGGAGGCACTTGTGACTACAGAAGGAACTCTTCTATTTTAGCTAAATATAGTGCCAAACGGATCTTTCTAGTCTCCAATTATCCAATTAACCCTTAACTTTGAAGTTTCCTGATCTGAGGCTGATTCCAGTGTTTGGGTGCCCACATGCAGTCGCTGCTTTTCAAGAAGAGTTCAGTTTAACATTTTATGCTTGTAATAATATAGTTATCAATTTAACAACTAGAATTTATAGCATCCTTAAGTGCTAGACACTGCAGAAAGTTTCATAGAGATCCTTCTGATTTAATTGGTACAACAGTCCTGTGTGTTGAATGCTGTTAACCATGTTTGACAAATCTGGAAACTGAGGCACAGAGAGGCTTGCCTAGGCCACAAGCTGATAAGTCTTGGAGAGGGACTTCTGACTATGAAAGTTGCAATCTGTGAAGGCAAATTTGTAAGTCAAAGAGCATACATTTCTCTTTAAGGACCTAGAGTTTTCTCCTAGTCTACATCAAAGAGTTAAAGGGCCAATGCTTTAAACTCCTTTGGTTCTTCTAATAACTGTTTCTCCCCAAAGCTGATAAGTCGCAAACCTTTTGGAAGCAATGAAGGGGCCACAGGAAAGGAGAAGGAAAATGCCACCTGGAATTCTGCCCCGGAGAGCGGGCCCCACACACCGTGGCTGTGGCTGCCTTAAGGACGCATGCAGGTCCCCCGCGTCACCAGTCTCTTCGCGCCCTCTGCGATCTGAGCCCAAAGCACTTTCACCAAGCGCCGGACCTTTCCGTAGTAGTGGGGACCAGGCCTCGCTGCGGCTGGTTGCGATCATGGCACCCCAACAGGTCTCCCTTCCACTGAGCCAGTTTTGCCCTTGGGCAGGGGCCCGCAAGTGACCGGAAAGCTCTCACTTCAGGCCATTCCCGAAGAGGAGGGGATCAGGAAAGGGAACACTGGGGCGGGGCTTGCCACCCAAAGTCCCCTGCCCGGGGACGTCACGGTCCCAGGTGCGTGTGAGACCGGGGCGGGAGTCTGCCCTGCGCCTCCCTCCTCGGCGCACACCCCACCTCCGTGCGGTCGCTCCGCGCGGGCCCCCGGGCTCCATTTTCTCGGGACGGGTACACTTGGAACCGCGCCTCGGGGCAGGATAGGGAGGCCCCGGCGGCAGGAGAGGCAGAGGAGGCCTCGGGGCGTGGAGGAAACACCGGGATTTGGGAGGAGTCGGAGCTGCGGTCGCTGGGCGCCGGGGAGAGGGCGGTGTGGAGCGGCGAGAGGCCAGAGGCCAAGGCGCGGCGGAGCTAAGTAGCGATGGCGAGGAGCCCCGGGCGCCCGTGCGTGCTGCTGCTTCTCCTGGTAAGTGCAGTGACCTGAGACGCCGAGCCCGGCAGTCGGGAAGTGCACTGGCGGGCGCCAGCCTCGCGCCCCGATCTGCCGGCTTCCGCCTGGGAAGGACCCGCCTGCCCGGCGCTGCTGCTTGTCCCCGAAGGTGGGGACGGGTTGGCTAGGTGGCTTCGGCCGGAGCCCACCTGAGCTGCGGGAAAGAGCTCGGGTGGCTGCAACCTGTCCAACTTCCCTGCGCTCAGGCCCTGGTGTCCTTTCCTAACTGATGTGTGGGTGCAGTGGGCGCTGGGGCGGGGAGCACCTTGACCGGGGATGGGGGCTTTGTTAGGAGGCTTTTTCCGACCGGAATCCTGGAGGCGGTAGGGAGTCACCTCCGCGCCTTCTTCCAAGTTCCTTAAAGTTCTCGGTTCTTGGGCTCTGTAACCTGTGATACACGTCAGTGAACTGGAAAAACCAGGAAAACACCTACATTGTTAGAGTGCAGAACAAGAGCTAAAACTAGTCACTTTTTAAAATGTCTTTTACAGTGCTGAAATTTTTTGTTAAGTCTGCATTGCTGTTAAGAAAATCACTCACATAAAGAAAATTTTAGCTTTAATTTTGACTTTGTGTTCAGAGTCAGTGTTTTAAAACGATTTCCTAATGCTGAAAAAAAATAAACGTAATATTTGGGGGCTTTTTTTTTTCATTTAAAAGAAGAAAATCAAAGTGTAGAACCACCAGCATCAAATGGGTTTTTCAGATGTTACTTTGTTTGGTTTAACTCCGGGGCGTTTAACCACTGAGCTACATCCCCCGCCCTTTTTACTTTCTGAGACTAGGTCTAAGTTGCTCAAGACATCCAAAAAGTTGCTAAGATTGGCTTTGAACTCGCTATTCTCCTGCCTCAGCCTCAGTGGCTGCCTCAAGAGACAGTGTTCAGATCCAAAGCTAGATTTCTTCCATTTGGTTTCTAAGATCAAATGAGATGTAAAACTCAGTTTTCTGTTTGTTAAAGGATTGAACTCTTAACTAAGAAAAGTGCCTGGCTTAAAGTGGGTTTTGATAAAGTGACAGGTACAGTGCTAATAAAGGTGTGGCTTCATCTTCCAGAGATTATATACAAATATAAAATATAAATATATTATATATATATATATATATATATATATATATATATATATATATTTCAGAGATATTAGATACAAAATCATACAAAGTTTTCTTATATAATGATTAAAACTAAAAATGCAAGTACATTCACTCAATTAAAAGTTCTAAATCTCAAAAGGTAAGTTTCCATCCTGGAGTTGTGGAGGGAGAGGGAGAAAAAATATATGTGTGTGTGTATCTTTATATATCTAGGTAAATGGACTTTTAAGGCAAAAGAGAAAAAAAAAAAAAGCATGACTAACTCCAATCCAGATATTTCAATGAACTTTCACTTGAGACAGCATGATAATTAGGAACTCCAGACTTTTGGCAGACAAGTTCATTTTCATGCTCTATTTCATTTCGTCTTGTGCATGTTGCTGAGGTAATTTTCAATTCAAGTTCATTTTTTTTTAAATGAAAATTTTCTGTCATAGTATTGTGCTTTGTTTTTGACTTCCAACACGACCTAATCCTCTGATTTAGATGTTTTCTAGCTAAGGAGAATACTAACAAAGCACCTAACACACCTCAAAAGTTAAATATTAAATTCTCTCCATCTAAGAAAAGAAATTACTTTCAGTCTTCAAATGGCATATCAAGCAAGCCAATTTGTACACTCAGAGAAAAGAGTAAATTGTTTAGGCAAACTTTTCATTTTAGCAATTTTATATTTTTACCTCATTGGGCAATAATAGACTCTTCCTTCAAGAGTGACTATAGCCAACTAGACAAGAGCAGAATCCTGTTCATTATAGAAAGTACTATTTGTGATATAACTTTATATATGTGTGTATATATATGTGTGTGTGTGTATATATATATATATATAGAGAGAGAGAGAGAGAGAGAAGATGGACAGAATATTTTTATTTTATTTATTTTTTTAAGTGGTGCTAAGGATCAAACCCAGTGCCTCAGACATGCTAGTAAAGCGCTTTACCACTAAGCCACAACCTCATCCTCTATCTATCTATCTATCTATCTACACACACACACACACACACACACACACACACACTTTAGTCAAAGAATAATGGATAAATCCAATGTGTTTGAAGTTGAAAGTATAGTGTTTGGGACAAAAAAAGAAAACAATACTTTCTCTATAGGAAGGAATATAAATTACAGTCTGTTGGGTCAGAGTTCAGTTATAGATAACAGAATTTAACAAGCTAAAGAAGAGAGTTATCACAGGATATTAATTTGACTAGGTAATTCTAGGAAGGATTGAAGAAATTTTTCCAGTTTTAGCTGTCTCCCTCTCCCTCCACAACTCCAGGATGGAAACTTACATTTTGAGATTTAGAACTTTTAAATATAACTTCAAAGCCACAAAGCAGAACTCAGCCACTTAGGAGCTTCCTCTCCTGTGATCAGGAACCAAAAGCCACACGGCTGCTTTTATAGTCTAGAAACCACTCTGACCAGGATGCTACTTGATTTTTTCTTTGTTTATTAATAGTTTTGGGTTTTTTGGTTTGGTTTGGTTTGGTACTGTGGATTGAACCCAGAGATGCTTAACCACTTTTTATTTTTTATTTTATTTTATTTCATTATATTTAGAGACAGGGTCTGTTTAAGTTGCATAGGGCCTCGATAATTGCTAAGGCTGACCTTGAACTTGTGGTCCTCCTGCCTCAGCCTCCTGAATCAGGAAAATGGCAATTCTTAACAGAAGTTTTCTTTAATAACAAATTTAAGGAAAAGTATTTTGTGATCCAAATGAGCATTTATTGGTCCAAATTTTCCCTGATTATTAGAAATCTCTGATGAGCTAAATTAAATCTCTAAGGCTGAGATCCAGAAATATGTATTGATAAAATTCTCAGTTGATCTAATTACTTGTCTAAATTTTGCAAAATAGTTGATTTGTGAATATAGCATACACAAGGATTGGTATTTTTTAAAATGACAAATTATAATAAAAATTAGAAACCTTAATTGAAATCATAAATGAGGTTTAGATCTACTTGAGTATTTTTTTGATCAGAGCTTTTTCTTTCTTTCAAATTTCAACAGCTTTGAGGGCACTTTTCAAATATTTAGTCCATAGATGATGAAAGATTATCTTGTCAGTTTGGTTTGTATACATCATACGACACCAAACTTGATTTCAAATTGTGAACATTGAGCACCTATTTGATGCAAAACTTGGTGAAGAGGGTGGAGAAATTTGGAGCTCCAGGATTTATATCACAGTGTAGGAGTAAGGTGAGGAATGCCCACCAGAAAAGAAATCACTGTAGATGGCTGGTATTAAGAGAATCCCTTCTTGGTTTTAGGCAATGTGCTAGACACAAGAGGGGTGTTATGAAAAGGCCAGACACGCCCTGCCCTCGAGAGATTTATAGTCTTGCAAAGGATACAATAAGGAAATGGCTAGCTTCCCAATGGGTAATGAGTGACAAGAAGAGTCCTGATAAAGAAACACACAGTACCATGGAGCCTACCATCCAACCCAATGCTGGGCATCCCATCCAAGATCTGAGGATAATTATGAATTAGTGAAATGATACGGAGAAAAAGAGAAGATGTGGTATGTTGAGAGAAGAACAAAGGCAAAGGCCTACAGACAAGAGTGTATGGTCCTCTGGAGGAGCTAGGAAAGCCTGTCACTGCTTTAACATACAATATGAAGCAGATGAATTCATATGAGATGAGACTTTGGCCTTCAAGCCCACAGAAGAAGCCAGAAAACACTTGCCAAGTGAGTGTTTGTAGGGAGGTGTTCCAATTGTTCAGAAAATGAAAAGGTGTTTTGTGTTTTGTTTTTGGTTGAGATAAAGGGGAAAAAGAACAAAGGGTAAGCTGGAGGTGTGGCTGAGAGCTGGAGTGCATGCTTAGCAGACAGAAGGCCCTGGCTTTGGTCCCCAACACAACCAAGGAAGGAAGAAAAGAAAGAGAATTTGACTAAATGAGTACAGTTTAGCCAAGTGAAAACCAATGAGGTAAGGAGGCATTCAGGCCTTGGTCTGCTGTCATCAGACAAGCAGAGAAGCCAGAAATCACCCAGCAGAGTGGAGGGAGATACAGCCTGTCAGGAGTGGAGGGCTGTGAAACAGCAAAAGGATTAAGAAGACATTTGGTTGTCAGTGCCTGAGGATGCTCTAGTCCTCTGTTCCCAAAGTTTAGGGGTACCAAACCTACAATCTGCAGAGCCTTCAAGAAGCATTGGCCACTTGTGAATACTTTTCCTCTCTAAAATGCTAGTAACACCCACATTGAAAACAGTGATAAGCAAATATAAATAGTAAGGGTTCTAATTTGGGATTCATCTTACTTTCTCTAGGTTCCCTTTTTTTTGGGGGGGGGGTGCGGGGACCAGGGATTGAATCCAGGGGCACTTAGCCACTGAGTCACATCTCCAGCCCTTTTTTTATATTTAGAGACAGGGTCTCTCTGAGTTGCTTAGGGCCTTGCTAAGTTGCTGAGGCTGGCTTTGAACTCACCATCCTGTTGCCTCAGCCTCCCAAGCCACTGGGATTACAGGCAAGCGTCACTGTGCTGGGCACTAGGTTCCCTTTTTAAAATGGATATACTTTTGTGGTTGATTAAGCCTTTATATGTTCATTCACTCCAGAAAAAGTATTGAGCATCTATTCTGGGACAAACAGTATGTGAATTATTCTCATCAAACAGTTGCTGCCTGACTGGGGACTGAAAGGGTAAACGTGAATGTAGATGAGAGATGAGACAGTTCAGATTTTCTCACTTCTAAAACACTTCCCTCCTACTGCTCTTTCAAGTCCCCTGCAATGTAAACTTAAAAGAAATAATAATAATAATTAGGGGCTGGGATTGTGGCTCAGAGGTAGAGCACTCACTTGCCTAGCATGCGTGAGGCACTGGGTTCGATCCTTAGCACCACATAAATATAA